AGAAACACCCCCCTACAGGAGAAAGAAGGAGGGGAGACAAAATAATACTCACTAACGAACTAAAAGTGGAGTGAGGTAGGCATGTAAGGCCCTGGGAAAGCAGTCATCTTTATAAACATGCCTCTTCATTGCTGTGCCCATTTGCCTCTTGGAGACATGAAGGAAACGGAGATTACACAGGACGAGATTTGGAAATCAAGTGCTCCCAAATATTAGTTATGATAAAATGTGAATGCCAGCACAGAAGATTATTTTCAAATATACTCATTGAAGTTTATTTTGAATCACTTAGTCAGAAAAAGTTCTAAGATATGTCTTACATTTAAAAACTGAAGTTTAAGCTAAGAAATATTGAATATTCAAAAATCTAATTATATTCAGTGTCAAAATTGTGGATAATCAGCCACTAAATACTTTGATCAATATATAAAGCATTTAGAGTTAAAAATGATAGTAAAAATAAATCTATTCATTTAACCAACATTTATTGAACATTATTTGATGACTTCAAGGAATGCACAGTACTAAATGGCTGATTCAAGTAAACAATTATAATAATTATATAAGTTAAGTATTGAAGGCTTTAAGTTCTTGAAAGAAACAACAAAAAGCCTTTTTGCTTCAGAGCAAGCTTCTTAGAAGAGGTGATTTTTAGCTGAGTCCTGAAAAAAGGAGTAAGCTCTTCAGGCAGAGAACATCAAGTGGGAAATAGTATTCATAGTTAGCACTGGGGACTAAGTGTTTTTTACACAGATTATTATCTCCTTTTATTCTTTCAACACCCTCTGATGTGGGTTACTGTGCCAGTCAAGGCCCCTTTTACCAAACAGATGTCCTATCTGAAGGGACTGCTTACAAGCAGGTGGAAACCAAGTGATGAGGAGCATTTCAGGACTAATGGCTTGTGTGAAGTTTGTACCACTCCTAGAGCTCCAGGAGCAAGCAGAGGGATCGGAGCCTTCTTATGGAAACGTTGGCCTCCTGTAGAAGACTTCAGCCGCTACCAAACCATGGCCAGTCCGAAGGAGGAGCTGGGGAATAATATCCCGGTTTCTCGCTTCTTCCACCTCGAGCCCACTATGCATCCCATTGACTAAACCTACTCAGAAACAGACAGCTTCCTGGGCACAGAGCCGGGTAGAAAAGGATGGAGAGCGGATCTGAGGGTGTCCAGAATAGCCACAGTTACTTTTTATTCTCTCCCTATTACACAAGAGATAACTGAGATGTATGCCATCAGCTTGCCCACGTTTACAAATGAGCGGATGAAGCCTGTTTCATCTCAGAACTTGTTCTTTAACCGCTGTGCTGAGCTGTGCTCAAGGCACAAAATCAAAGGAGGTGTGGCGCTGAGTATCTGCGGGAGGCCAGATTCTTTCCTGTGTGCTAAAGATACAACATGAAGCAAAATAAACACTAACTTATTTAAGGCTAAATGTCAGTATCGAAGAATTGTTTTCCACTGCTAGTGCAGTGGCTTAAGCAAATTGTTCAGTAGCTCAGATAAGCATTAAAGGGCTCATAGTATGTGGCCCTTTGAAGTCATCGGGGACCTAAGTCACTTCTGTTTTCTCTTCAACAATCGTTGGTAGGTGGCTTTAGTCCTCACTTTTACAATATTGGTCCTCTCGCCTCAGCCATTACCTCTGCATTCCAAGCAGGAAGGAAACAGAAATGGAGAAAATACCATCTCCCTTCTAAAGGATCAAGTTCTTCCCAACGTGTTCTCATATTCTGTTAGCCGGAACTTAGCCCCCATGGCCACAGCTAGTAGCAAAGGAGGTTGATGAATAGTTTTTACCTGGGTGAGCCTCTTACTCTCGTAACAAAATCATAGTTCTCTAATTAAGAAGGGGAAAATAGCCCTGGCCGGTGTGCTCAGTTGATTGGGGAGTCATCCCATAACTGAGAGCCTGTGGGTTCGGTTCTTGGTCAGGGCAAACACCTAGGTTGTGGGTTCAATTCCGTGTCCAGGTACATATGATCCCAGTCCGCGCATGTACAGGAGGCAACCAACTGATGTTTCTCTGTTACATTGATGTTCTTCCTTAAAAAAATAAATTAATTACTTAAGTAATGAAAAGAAAATCCTCTAGTGAGGATTTTAAAAAGGAAAGATAAAGGAGAAAAATAGGTATAGGCTAGGGTACCAGCAGGCTTTGCACAAGGTCTTAATTCATTTTTATATCCCCATAACCTAACATAAAGACCCGGCACGTAGTAGGTGTTCAGTGAAGTGCTATTAAACTATTCTCAACTACAAATAATTCAGCTTATGTAGGAGAGTGTTAAGAAATAGGATTAGAGAAGTATGTGCCAGGTGCTAAGGGGCCCTGTCTTCTAAATCAAAGTAGAACATAAGAGCAAAAGCCAAGTGCCGCCACAGTAACACACTAGGAATAAGGGATATACATTAGTCCTGTGGGAACAAGCTGTAAAATTAACTTTAAATGGTTATGATCAAAGATTTGAAAAGTCGATTTAGGGAGTAGAAAAACAGTTAATCCTCAGGACAGAGATATACTTGTGGCAAATCTACTTCATTAACACATCTGAAGGAAGAATGTTTTGGGGGAGGGGGTGGATGGAGGGTGGTCTGCAGTGGACCAAACAGAGATAAAAGGAATCAGGAAGAACTGTCTGCCATTGAAATTCTTGTCCTGCCCTTTTTGAGAATTAAGATTCCTTTTCTATATCAAAAGTTTTATTTAGCTTCTTTCCATACACACAAAATAGTGATAAAACTTGTAGTATTTGTTGATTGAGGAAATATGCAGATGTACCAATTCTATACCCTTTGCTATAACTTTGCCTATCTGTAGCTTGGTGTATAGAAGTTCCTTTTAGATTATTTTTGTCCAGGAGCCACAGTCAAGAAAACCATTTTACTCGTGACCTAGTGATGATCACAGTTTCTCAAAACAGAACTTACCCTACACTGGCAAGGTACTCTGATGTTTTCCACTCTAGCCTGTTAAATTTCTTTTCCCCTCAGACCTGGTCTTAAATTGATTTCCTTACCCATGGATTGAGAACCTACAGGGCTTTCTTTTTTCCTTCCAGTTTTACTGAGCTGTCATTGAAGAGACCTACAGTTTCAAAAACACTGGCTCAGATATTCTCCTGTGACTGTGATTGTAAGAACCCTAGGTTTTTAGCTGTCTCGCCTTTTCAGTCCCCAGCAATTAGAAGAGAACCCAGCAATTCCCCAGTTTTACTCTGACTTTCTTGATGGTCTATGACTGTTTTATTTCTTTTTAAAGATTTTATTTATTTACTTTTAGAGAGAGGGTAAGGGAGGGGGGAGAGAGAGAGAAACATCGACGTGCGAGAGAGACATCAATCTGTTGCCTCTTGCACATCCGCCATTTGAGGACCTCACCCACAGCCCAGGCCTGTGCCCTGACTGGGAATCAAATTGGTGACTTTTTGGTTTGCAGGCCAGCGCTCAGTCCACTGAGCCCCACCAGCCAGGGCTTGTGACTGCTTTCTAAAAAATTTTAAATAAGACTGGCAAAACTAACAGGCATTCCTGGCCAAATGACAATTACATTTCTCATCACCAGTTAATAAACTCGCATTCTAATTTGTACTTTGGTTTCTTTTGGATTTGGTTAGCCTCAGCCACCTTTGAATTCTCCTGGTAGACAGCACCTGGACTTTCCCTATCATGGAAACTTATTTCTCCTTTAATACTAAGGACTTTGGACTTTTCTTTTAAAGACAGATCTCTGAAGTGTTTTAGTGCAGTTTTACATTTTAGAAAGATAAGCTTGAAAAGATTGTGGACTATAAATTGAGCAGAATAGAAGAAAGAGTCAAATCAGAGTTAGAAAACTCTTGTAGGAATCAAGCCAGAAATGATAAGAGCTCAACGTAAGCCAATGGGGTCAAGATAGGAACAGAATGAGGAGTTTAAAAGAGATTCGGTAAAGGCAAGGACTGTTTTAAATGGATGTAGCAAGTGAAAAGAAGGAGAAATCGAAGATGAAGAAAGATCAAACATTTCTGGCCAAGGTGTACCATTCACCAAGAAAGAGAATGTGCGTGATTGGGGGAGTTCATTATGACATGCTGAACTAACTGCAGCTGCCTGTGGGGATCACCATGCAAGAGCATTTGCAGCTCAAGTTAGAGCTGCAGTGTATAGGTGGGGATATGGCTCATTTGGTGGTCACTGAAGCTGGCCACGGGTGTGGACAAGGTCAAGAGAGCTGACCCTGATGTCACTTCTAACATTTTATGTATTAAGTAGGCATATAAAACTGTTTTAAAAAGATAAAAGTATAAGCTATCATACTTATCTATGTGCCTACATATGTATGTATATATATTTAGGAATGTGGTCCTTTACCATTTTAAACAGATAGAAGTGGTAAAGCGGTAAGTTGCATATTTAATTTATTATCATATATAAATAAAATAGGCTGCTTTGACTGCTTATTTAATGCCCTATATAAGGACTTCTGAGTGCTTATTCTGTAAGCCTACCTTCCTTGCAGCTCTTTTTACACTGAAATGATTGAGCAGTAAAACCCAAGAAGCACTCTGGTAAATACTTAGCAATTCAGAAGATCCAAAGCATACTGATTTAGATCTAGTAATTCTCCAATAAATATTTATTGAGTGAATGAATATGCACATTTAGATAGATAAGACTGACCAAAAGAGAAGCTGTGCCCTTGGTTTTTTATAATTCTCTTTGAAAATAGAAACAATTCATACAAGACTTGCTTCAATAAAATATGTTAAATACAGGCTTTGAGCCAGAAAGCACAGATGTGTATTTTTTCTCCAGACGTACCAGGTGGGAGATTATTTCTAACAAAACATAAAACCTTTGCCCCTAAACTACCCTTCTGAATTAAGAAAAGCAATTATTTATTGTAATCTTACATAAAAAGCCCCAATGTATGTTGGCACTTAGTTCTCTGAATTGCCTCTTTTCCTCCTAGTAAGCATTTTATTTGATTTTCTTTTTTTCTTTTTTTTCTCAACAGACCAAAAAAGAAGCACCTGAGTGGTCTAAGAAACAAAAGATGAAGACCTAGTGTTCTGAATGGATTTGCTATATCATTATTTACTCCCGAAGTTCTTTATCTGATGAACAAGAAGTTTATCTTAATCATGTGCTTGGCATTTTTAAAATAACTAATATAAAATTTATTTTCACTGAATGTTAACAGATTTCACCATAATCAAAATGTACAAAGTGCAAACAATAGGATACTTTATATTTTGTTTTAATTATTTTGTTACAAAATAAATATAGATTCTGATTTAAATTTGGATGTTTTATAATTCTCAAGGCATTTTAGAGTGTATGGCCTATAAATGTACAATTGTTATGTTGGTGAATATATTTGCTAACATTATAAATTTTCAGTTTAAATGTCATAACACAAATACCAAAGCACCTTACATTGTTTTAAATTAAGAATTATTTATGAAATTGCCTTGGCTGGTGTGGCCAAGTGGATTGAGCACCAGCCTGCGAACAAAGGGTCACCGATACAATTCCCAGTCAGGGCACATGCCTGGGTTTTGGGCCAGGTCCCCAGTAGGGGGCGTGCAAGAGGCAACCACACATGCTTCTGTCCCTCCCTTCCCTTCTGTCTAAAAATAAATAAAGTATGTTTTAAAAAAGTTTTTAAAAAAAGAATTATTTATGAAATCTACTAAAAGTCACTTCAAATGTCCACTAATGGTGGTCAGATATCGTGTACTTGATATTATCATTAACCAGCAAAAGCTGGTAGAAAGTTTATTTCGTTGGTCAAGTAATAAATTTAGTGGAAAGTCTCCTCTTATGTTAGTCAAAACAGTGCTGATTCAAATGCACTATGGACCAAATTTCTAATCAATGAGAAAAAAATCAGGATTTTCTCTCTTGTCATCAAACAAGCTCTATTTCTCATTCAAGAGACACAATTTAAAAGAAAGAAAAGTAAAAAGGAAAGAGAAGAACATTTACATTTATATTTATCAGGTTTTCTCAACTACTACTGACATAACAACTGGATAATTCTCTGTTCAGGGTGGGAGTAGGGGACAGTCCTTTGCATTGCGGGATGTTTAACAGCATCTCTGCCCCCTACCCCTAGGTGACAGTAGCACCCCCTCCCCAGATGTGGTAACTAAAATGTCTTTTGCCCTCTGCGGTAGCAAAACACCCCCCACCTCCTAGTGAAAAACCACTGATACACATAGCAATGATTATCCTTGTAGATATGAATAAAGAATACTATCTGTTCAATGTGTTCTTTGAAAGTCACAATAGTGTAGGCTGTGAGTTGAGTGTGAGAAAACAGAAAAAGCCCTTGATAATACATACTCGCAAATCTGTTGTTGGCCTGAAAACCCAACTCTCATCCCCCTCTTTTTGCTACATTTGGATATATCTTCTAATACATGACTTTCTGCAACATAGGTTTGTGAAATTGGTCTTTTTCCAGTGTGCATCTTAAAATCCAGGATGCCCTGATAATTTCATTAAAACTAAATTAACTTGTAGATATAATTTGTTTTCTTCTAAGATGCTAAAAGAAAAACATCTATTTTTTTTCAACTCTTGTTACTAATCTAAAAGCATATTATAACTTCATTGAGTCAACCCCATTTGTTACATCTACCTATTTTAACAAAATGGAATACTGATTGATTATCCAGGTTAGAATAATGGCGTGGACAGGCATAGAAATAGGAAAATTTGGTTCCAATTGAAGAAATAGAAAGTGCATTGATGAAGAAATTGAGGAAGTCTTCCTCCAAATCCTAATTTTTTTCTTCCTTTTTTTCTAGATATGAATTACTGTTTTTAAAAATTGTTTTTCATTTCCTGCCATAATAACTATTAATAAATATCAGGGTTAATTTGTGATATGAAAGCTTTTGGGAAGACATTGTGAATTTTTGATTCAGATGACACTGCTTTCGGAAAGTTTTCTCTGTTCTACCATAATAATCTGAAATATGGACTCTGTACTCTCTATCTCTTTAATTCTAATCACCGTATTTTATAGCAGCTGTTTACTTGTCCTTTTCCTTGAGGGAAAGAATTCCTAAGCTTTGCTTGGTCTTTAGTTTTTTAGCCCTATGCCTTGAACTTAAACAGCAAATGTTTACTTGATGAATTTGGGCAGATGAGATACAATGATGAAACTTTTTCTTTTTTTATGTCTTTAAAGATGGGTGTTTCAGTATCATACATAGAATCTGTTTTAATTCATTTCTTAATATCATTACAACTCTTGCCTTTCCTTTAAATGTTCAGGCCTTCCTTTTTTTTCACTTTTCTCCTTCTTTGTTAAAAATTGCATTAAAAATTGCGTTAAAAAAACAAAACTTACTATCTTTCCCATTTTTAAGTTTACAGTTGAATAGTGTACTTACATTGTAGTGCATTGTATCTCCAGAACTTTGTCGTCTTCCAGATGGGAAACTCTATTCCCATTGAGCAGCCCTTTTATTCCCTTACCCTGCCCCTGGAGACCCACCATTCTACTTTTTGTTTCTATGAATTTGACTACTTTAAATATCTTATATAAATGAAACATTCTTTTTGTACTGCCTTATCTCAGCATAATGAAATGAAACATCCTCAAGGTTTACCCATGTTACAGCATGTGTCAAAATTTCCTTTTTAAAGCTGAGTAATATTCCATTTTGTTTATTCCTTTATCCCTCGATGGGTTGCTTCCACATCTTGGCTATTGTGAATCTTCTTAACTTTGTAACTCTTACTGCATCTTCTCCTGGCCTTTCTTATTTAAAAAATAAATAAATAAAACAGAATTAACATAACATTTTTTCCTGCAAAATGTCATAAAAAGTTGTCCAAATGTAAGAGTAATAGCTACCATTAACAAGCTAATTCGATCCAGTTGCTGTTACATGCTTTCTACTCCTTAATTAATCTTAACAGTAATTTTGTCAAACACTATCTTCATCTTTAAAGTGAAGAAACTAAAACTCAAAGAGTAACTTAATGGCCCAAGATCAGACACATGATAAATAGCCGAAAAGGATTTGAACCACTTCTGGTGGTCTGACTTCAATGGGCATTCTCTTGGCAGCACACTACACTGCTCCTCATACTTTGCTCCGCATCACCACCTCCCACCCCAGTGGGATGGAAAGAAGAGGGAAAAAATCTTGATTTATCGGCTTTTCTTGGGGAAAAAAAATGGAACTTAGTGTAGTTTAATTTTTGTTCAAGATCAGTTCATGCATGTTAAATCTATTCCTAAAGATTTTAATGTTGCAGTGATAAAAGATTCTAATGTTAAACAGTTCCATGACTAATAGTTCTTACTAACTTAATGGGATATGGTTTAACTTTTCCGAACCAACTAAATGGCATCTATGTGTTTTATCAATTCATACATTCTTTCATTAAACAAACATGAAAAATCTAAAATGTATTAGGCATTCACACTTTGAATTGTTTGTCTTCCTCCTTTTTTCAAAAGACCCTGATAAAGAATTCTGTGATATCTCAAATACCAGAGGAGAGATTTTATTTTTATCATTCTCAATATAGGAATTTCTAAAAGGAGCTATCGCAGTGATTCAGAGTACTCTAAATTCACTGTGTTGTACAGGCAGTGCTTGGATAGTCATCTGTCAGGAAGTTTAAGGTAAGATTCCCACATTTAGAGGAGGTTGAAGCTGTTAATTAGCCAGATTTTCTCTTTCATTCTAAAATACCAAGAGTCATGACATGCAAAAAAGAAAATAGTTTATTTTAATATGATTCATTTTAAAATGTAGTAAGTACTGTAAATGTTTCAAAGAAAGACTTCCTGAGGCTTAGAGGTCACCAAACAAAGCCAGTTAGCTATCAAGAGTCCTTCTGGGTATTGGTTACTTTAATTGATTTACAGAATCCATAACTTAAATTTATTAATGTATGGAAGGTGATACATCTTTCAAGAGTATGCCCACACTGATTTGTAAATCATAACGTATTAATTTTGAGTGAAAAGTAAAATTATTGGGTTGGCCAAAAAGTTCATTTGTCTTTTTCCATAAGATGGCTCTAGTAGCATTTAGTTGTTTTTAATTTCATTCTAAACAATTTTGTGAGACTGTATTGTGACAGCTCATATCAGCATGTATTTTTTAAAAAATCAAAATTGGTGAATTTTTTTGTAGCCATTTAAATACTGAAAATGGAAGAAAATACACATTTTTCAGAATATTATGCTTTATTATTTCAAGAAAGTAAAAAATGCAACTGAAATGAAAAAAAAGAGATATGTTCAGTGTATGGAGAAGGTGCTGTGAATAATCAAACGTGTCAAAAATGGTTTGCAAAGTTCCATGCCGGAGATTGCTTGCTGGACGATGATCCACGGTCGGGTAGACCAGTTGAAGTTGACAGCAATCAGACGTTAGTTGAGAACAATGAACATAACACCACATGGGAGATAGCTGACATACTCAAAATACCCAAGTCAATAAAGTTATTGGTAAAGATGAAAAATGTGTCATTTACTTTACGGAAAAAAATCTTACGGACTTTTTGGCAAACCCACTATAATACAGACTATGGCATATGGGATCGGCACAAATGGGGCACTCTCTCCCTGTCTCCCCCGGGCTTCCGCAATACTGTACGCTCATCATTTTCCATCTTCTTCCTCTTCTACATGATCATAAAACATACAAATTTTTTTCACAGTTTCATTTTCCCCTTAAATCCTTTCTCTGTTCTGTACTTACTCTCTTAGTAATTTCTACTTCCTGGCTTCGATTACTATATGCCAGTACTCCCAAGTTTATATCTCTAGTTCAAACTGTCTACTTGACATCCATTCTTGCATGTCCCATTGTGAAATCAAAATGTACAAAAGTGAATTCATCAAGTGTCTTCTCCAGCGTTCCCAGTTTCAATAAAAGCCACACCGCACACCAGCATCTCAGTGATTCCTGTCACAAGCCAAGGAGTCTTCCCACACCCTTCTCTCTTTAACCTCCAAGCACACAATCGTCAAGCCCTGTTGATCTGCCTCGTGAATAGTTACCTTTTTTTCTTTTGATTATGAATATTTCCAAATACACGAAAGAGCAGAATATCTTGGGATGAGAGGTTCACTGTCTTCATGATGGTGATGGGTTCATGGGTGCATACA